TTAAATAAAGATAATTTGATATAATGATATCTTGATATACCGATATTTTTTAGATAAAACAAAAATATCATTATATCAAGCTTTGACTGTATATGTAAAAGAAATTAATGGGATTATTATGTTATTTTATATGTAATATTCTGTATACTCATATTTCATATTAAAAGATCACTATATTTAGTTAATCTTTTTTCACAAATTTTTAGTAATTTTTGAAAAATCAATATTGATCTTATTGCAGTAACTTTTGAAATATATTTTCTTTGAAAGGTTTTTAAAATTTTAAGGCATAATATATAATATTATAAGGAATTATTTGAATGAAAAAACATCTCATTACTATTTAAATCAATTTGTTTGGATTCCAGTAAAAGTATAATTTCTTATTTTGCATTGACCGGATCAAAGATTTTAAAAGTATTATATTTGGTTAATCTTTTTCATCAATTTTTGGTTATTTTGAAAGGTTACTATTAACCTTATTGAAGTAACTTTTGAATTAAGCTTAATGCATTTGCTTTGGCTAAATATTCTTTTAATAATATAATAATATATATTTTAGGAAATGATTTAAATAAAAAAAATTTATTGCTATTTATTTAGGATAATTCGAGAGTTGCTATAGTTTTGTATAGCCAGAAATCTCTGAAAAAGAAAGTATGAAATCGTGTGTATGATAAACTGATAAAGATTTAATCAGTGCGACACGAACTGTATAACAAATCACGTGATTGTGTCTATCCGAAGCCATAAATTTTTGATTTTCGAGTTTCTCGATCGGCAGTTTTTACTATCCTGCTTATTGGAAAAAACTTAAGAAACGATTTATTGGCCACAAATATTCAATGACATTAGAAAATATACACAATCTTGTGACAGTTGTCAAAGGAGAGAAAGAGTGGTGTAATATTTCAAAACCTTCTACGCCTGCCTTCCAAATGAATCGAAGCCTTTGTTTCAAGAGAACGGAATCACCAACTCCGACTTTAAAACCTTTATTATTTAATTACGCTGAATTCATTAAAAAGCTTAAGGAAATGACTATTGTTTTGGGACATTCTAAAATTCTACCAAACTTTCCCGAAAACAAAAGAGCGTTAATTGTACAAGAAACGTTTAAAATGTTAATGAAGCATGCTTCATTAAAGGAAATGCATATTCGAACGACTTGTTCTTTCTTGGAACACAATGTACCGTATATTACCTTTCCTGGAGCAAACATTTGTTTTCAGAATCTTTACAACTTTGTTGGTGATTCATCTATAAATTCCGAATTTTGTTCTCGACTTTCCGATATCTGCAAAGACATAAAGAAGTTCAAATTGGAAATTGACGAGGATATTAATGAAATTTAGATAAACTCAACTTGTGATAATACGTTGAATTTTAACGTTATCAATTTCTGCCCGAAATTTAAAATTTTTATGTATTCAATGAAGAAACTGAATTAAGGTTCCTTCTTAAAAATTAACAACCCTTGAAGTGGATTGCTATCAAAGTTCTCTTAATGAAAGCAGGGTCTTGGTAATTGTGGCTGAAGTTGATGCATGTAACTTATCAGAGTTAAGAATCAATAAACATACTATACAGAGAAATGAACAACTTTTCTCTGATTTATCGAGGGATATAAATTGGGGGGAGAAAAGTGCTCCCATCTCGATAATATTGAATGCTGAAGAAGGGTTAACAACAAACGAACAAGGTAGACAGATTATTGAGAAATAT